AAGAGACAACACAGGAGTGCTCCTAAAGGATGCCTGGCATTGTTTCCTTTTAACATGTCAACTTGAAAAAGGGTCAATTATAAGGTAAATCAATGGTAAACACTTTTTAATGATTTTTAGGGATTCTGCCACCTTACTTGCCGCCTTAGAAACAAAAAGGAAAAGGAAACTTAGGGCAGAGCAAACACTTCTAGGATTGTTACTTGGGACACGTAAAAAAATAATTCTACCTCTCTAGCCAATAGCTGACTGGTGTGTTCCATTAACAATCCCGGAAATAAACAATTGCGAGACACATTTTAGCTCCAGGGGCCTCTTTCTCAAAAGTCCTGGTAACTTTTTGGGCCCGGAAAGCTGCTTTGTGTTTGCCACGTTTACATTCAAGATCAAAGTTTCAATAATTTTGAAAACAATAAAATGAAATTATCAGTTAACAAAGCAAAATTGATTGGTTTATGGGCCAGGAACTGTGCTACTATTCAACAGGTTTGGGTTTTAAGATTTGCCTTCAGTCCCAAAAAGTTTCCGGGCCTTTTGAGAAATGGGCCCCAGTAATCCCTTATCATTTATAAAAATAATGGGGAATTGGGAAAGATGATCTGACTTTTGGGCAGTAAAAAGGTTTACAGGTGATGATTAACATCACGCTGGAAAATATTATATATTCTAAACTGAGGAAATTCTCCTAAATATAACAACACTAGGTTAACTGACAGTGTACCAGACAAAGTAAAAATAGATCAAACCTACAGTGTATATTAAATTAAATTAGTGAAGGATGATAATGGGGCCGGGGGGGGGGCCTTGGGAGAATAAGGGATGGGAGGGGTATGGGAGACATAGAAGGAAAGGGTGGCAAGTTGGAGTGCTAAGGAGTTGGAATTAGGAGAAATAGGGGAAAATTATCCAACAATGCAATTATTATTAAAAGAGGACGAAGCAGTGGAAACAAGAGAAAAAAGGGCTGAGCACTGCATGGGAATGCAAGGAACTGTACGGTTTTGATGATTTAATAGAGGTTTGACAACACAGACTTGAAAAAGCTCACCTAAAACATTTTCTCCTAGCTTTAAGCTAGTCAAGGTGCTGTTAATGCACAAGGCATGGAAAATGTCACTGATGAACTCTGAAACTGAGAATGAATAAAGAATGAAAAACATGAGGCTTATGTTATAATGACTTACATTGTCAACCATTCCCGTCCTGTGACAATTACAAAGTGCTGATGTGTGCATATAACTTTCATTGATAATTATAAAATAAATAATTATTTTTATGAAAGTGTATTTACAGATGATCGGAAGCTTGCAGAACAGGTTTTTCCATTTTTCAGTGAGTGAAAGCATTAGTGGGAGGCCCCATGTTGCATGCCTAACTGAAACAATTATACAAAAAAAAAAAAACCAACAATCATACAACAACAATGCTTGTTCTGGAACCTGCAGATCAGAGGTTCTAATCAAATCTTTGAATACCATTTCCCAGCTCTAATAACAAAAATAGGAATTTAAAAATGTCGGTTTTTAAAAAGAGGATAAAACCACGTCACGACTTGGAGAAAAATTTAATACATTTGTACCAAGCAGAACTAACATCAAATAACACACATAACAGAAAAACGGCAAATTTTCAACACTAAGGTAGTTTCTTACATGTAGCTTTACCTCCGAGTCTACAACTGCTGAGATTCAAATCTGTGAGTGTTTTGTTTACTGTTAGCATCTCTGCCAGCTTGTTATTTCTACTGGGATCATATCTGTTGCCTTTGACAGACAGCTGTTTCAGAGAGCTGTGACCTGATCAAAGAGCAAAATTATACCATGATGGAAGAACTGAGATCAACAGTGGAAATGTAATACATAATTATTTCAGCCCTGTAAATTCCTAAGTTTAGATTTTATATAATTAATTTGAGTCTCAGAGAAGTCTGAAGGCTGAAGGGTTATGTCCAATACTGCATGTTAATACAGTCATAGCCTGTTGTACCTTTTATTAATTTTCTCTTCGGTAAAATTAGGCTGATATATAAATAAAAACCAAGCCAAGGGATAATAATTAATGGAGAGTGCAAGGGGTCGGGGAAGGTAAGTCTTTTCCATATTTTGCACTTATCCAATCACTCTCTTGTTTAAATATTTTGAGAAAAAATATATTAATCTCTAAACAGGATTATAGTCAGTGTTGTTACTACATAATGTGTAAATAGTTGTACCTGTTATGGCATGAAAGATGTCTCCCAGCCCTGCAGTTGAGATATTACAATTGACCAAACTCAGAGAAAGAAGTGAGCTATTACTTTGCAGTCCATCAGAGATCAAGCTTGCTCCTCTATCCCCAATTGGACAAGTCAATCGCAGTTCTTGGATGCCAACAAACTCTTTGGAATTGCAGCCATTAAACTGGATGATTTCACTGGAATCTAAAGCTGGAATTTCTGTGAAATTAGCCATGTTTGATGCTGCTTCAAACGATCCTGGATAATTCTGATCAAAAGCTGAGTTTGTACAGTTGTCATTCCTGTTAATGGAGTTGAAGTAACCATTGCCAGGCTCATTGAAACTTTCATGGCAAAAACATGTCTCCTTCATCATGCAGTCTTCTTGACATTTGTCAGCTTCATTGTTTACACAGGAGCCATTATGCCATGTGAATCTCTTATTTTTAACTGGGTCCTGAAATTTTGTTTTTCTTTTACTTCCCAAGGAAATACCCAGATCCATGCATTCTGATTCGATAGAATCTTCACTATCTGTTGTCTTGGATTTATGTGTAGAAGATGTCTCTAAATTCTTTAGTGAACAAAAACAAACATCTTTTATTGCTGTTCTTAAATGTGCACAGAAGGCTTCAGAAACTTGAAAGGAAGAAAGTTTGAACTTTGTCAAAGACTTAGACTCTTGGTTACAGTTGCAGCAAAATGAACCAATTAATCTTTCCACAAGAAACTTTGTGATGCTATCACTCACTAGGTTATTTGCGATTTTCAGGCAATGCAGTTTTCCTTGTGCGCAGAGGAGATAGAGTGTATCCATTAACTTCTGTGATAAGCTCAGAGGCTGGAAGCTTAGACCATTGTCTTCAAGTGTCAGTGACTTTAAGTTTGTCCACCATCTTAAACTATTAACAAACAGTTCAAGGAGATGAAAATGAACTAAAGAGCAGCCAACATTTGATAAACTGTGAAACAGTGAAAGTGGCTTTGTAGGTTTAGTAGCTATAGGGATAACTTGACAGTGGTCTGAGGTTTTATCTGTGTCTTGTTGACTGTCATTTACTTGCAAAAGCTCTCTTGAGACCTCTTTGCAATCCTGTCCATGGTTACAGCAGCTAAACACTGCATCAAAGAGATCTGGACTAGAACTTGAAGAGGCTTCACTTGTGCCTAACTGAGGTAAACATCCAGTGCAACTACTCCAGGATGATTCAGAGAATTTTCTACATCTCTTTGGAAAAACTGACAAGTCATCATCAGTAAACTCATAAATGTTGACATCATCTGAGACACTTGGAGGAGATGTGCAATTTCCCACTTCATTAATTAATTTCCATGGTAGGGACTGATGAGGATTATCATTGTCTTCAAAAGGAACACTTTCCTCCTTTTCTATGTCAGTAATGTTGCAACCATTTTCTTCTAATGGTAACAAGGAACAAAATATTTTACTCCACAATTCAACACTGTTTACTTTGCAAAAACAGAATCCAATAGATTTCAGTCTCTTTGATATAAATACTTGAAGGAGATGACACAGTGGCTCAACTCCATTGTTTCTAAGCATGAAAATTTCTAGAAATTCAACACACTCAGCAAGTTGCTCAACAATATCCCAGTTCTTTGCCAGATAAATAATTGATGGATTATAAAGCCTAAGATATGCGGCATATCTTGGACAGGCTGAAATTATCTTTTGCAATCTGTAGTTATCACTTTCTGGAATGAAAAAGAAGCGAACATGTTATTTAAATGGCATTATCTTTCAAACACTGATTTATTATTGTGGGGTACAATAGGAGCCTGCAATCCTAATTGTTGTTGTTTTTACGCGTGCGTCACACATATGTAGCCAGCATTCGTTTGGATTTCTACTAAGAATAAATGGAATGCACCTAATGCAATTTGATCACACACATTCAGAGCTTACATGTATATCACTCATAACCTGATCATGCGTGCTGTGACCAGCTGTCACGTGAAACTTACCCAAAGCACATCGTTGGAGCAAAAGCATTTTGACCTTCGATCATTGTTGCTCGCACTCTGTAACCGTTGGTTATTACTAGTAACAGTTCATTATTATCATATTTCGTACCTGCAGATGATGAACAAACTTTTAAACCACTGACGTTACATCCATTAAGAGCCTCTTGTAGTAGTCTTTGAAGGTAATAAATCTTCCAAAGTTCTTGTTCTCGTGTGATTCCCTTTGTTTTAAAGTACACCTCAGGCCACTTACTCTTTCTTGGCCACTTTGCAGTATAAATATTTCTCCAGAGTGGATTAGTGTCAATTCCTTTCAATTAGTTTTTGGAAAGAAATAGATAAAAAAATGTTAAAAAGATTGATGAACCAGAGTGCAGACTCATGAAGTTGGTCTGTGACAGGAAAATTTATTGTATTCAAAGAAATACCACATAAAACTTTAAATGTATAAAGTTCTATTAACAAGATACTTTTTCCCAACATACTCATTGCTTTGAAAATACTGGAGCCTTCAAGTTTCTCAATCTCTAGAGGATCAAGGTTTTCCAAAATTGGTAGGAGAACATGTCCTGGAATTCCTTGGAAAAAAAAAACAGGAATAGCATTACAGACAAGTTCAATCTTAAACTAATCAAAGAAATCATGAAATTTTACCTAAAAATTGTTCTGGTTTCCAGTATTTCACATTAACACGGATGAACTGAACGCATAAATCCTCAAGTTTAGGAAAATTGGCGACATACTCGCAGTTATCCGCTATATTGTGGAGAGTGCCAGAGTGAGATCTGGTTACCAACATTTCCCCAGTGCTTTCTCGGTTAGGGGTTTCCTCGCAATGTGTGATGGGTAGGGACGTTCACTTCCGCATCATCCTGCAAAATGGAGTGTCTGGCTGAATCGATGTCTGTAGATCCTTCCAAACATCGTCAAGAACTTCTCGAGCGTTTGGATATCCTGAGAAACAACGATAACTTTTGTGACGTGACGATCGCAGTAAAGGACAAAGAGTTCAAAGCTCACAGAGCTGTTTTAGCGGCAGCCAGCCCGTTCTTTCTGACACTTCTGACAAGCGACATGAAAGAAAGCAACGAACAAATTATCAAAGTAGAGCTAGAAGAAGCCACTGAATCTGTTATGGAAGATGCGGTAAAGTACATTTACACTGGGAATGTCACGGTTGTTGAGGAAAGAGCCCACAATTTGATTGCCACGGCAAATTTTCTTCTTTTGCCAAGCCTTAAAACAATGGCGGCCAATGTCTTGAAGGAGCATGTGACAACACACAACTGTCTTTTCAATTATTATTTTGCTGACAAGTATGAGGTGGTGGAGCTGAAGGAAAAATGCCGTGAAGTGATCAACGCAAATTTCAGTGTTGTAATGGAAACAGAGGAATTTCTGAATCTTGATATGAAGCAAGTTATGGAGTGGGTGTCTAGTGATGACGTCATTGTGAATGCCGAGGAAGACATTTTCCAAGGAGTTGTCAAGTGGGTGTCCTACTATAAGAGTGAAAGAGAAAAACATATTCCAGGATTATTGCACCAGATTCGCCTGTCATCAATATCACATGACTTTGTACTGAATACATTGGTCAAAGAAGAACTAATGACTGAAAACCCTACATTTTGCTTGAATTTTGTAGTTGATGCAATGAAGTCAGTACTGAGTTCTAGTGATAGGGGAGCTTCTCAGTTACCAAGGAAATGCCAGGAGACTCACATTGATGGAATATTCATTTGTGGAGGGAAAAGAGCATTGTGTTACTTTCCACAGAAAGACATGTGGTACAGGTTAGCTGACAGTCCATTTCAGGATTATGAAGACCATACCCTTGTTGAATATAAGAGCAATGTTTATCTTGCTGATGGAAAAAGACGTCAGCTGGGACAGTCAAATGTTTTGCAATTTTACTCACCTCTAAAGAACTCCTGGGGTACTGTGCAGAGAAATGATGATATTACTGATTTCACCTGCTTGACAGTCTTAAAGGGTGACATGTATGCAACAGGTTTTGTAAACTTTTCCAATAAGGGCCGGATTTGCAAATATGACAGTGAAAAGAACTGTTGGCAAGACATGGATGCTCCACCCTACCAGCAGGACAAAGCTTGTGTTGTGGCTGATGAGCAGTTCCTGTACAAAATAGGCGGTACAATGGATCGTGGAGAAAGTGCTGTATGCACAACAAATAGATTTGATCCCATCAACAACAAATTGGAGGAAGTTGCAGGTTTAAATTTGGGTAGGTACAATGCCTGTTGTGCTGCCATGAATAGCAAGGTGTTCATAGCTGGTGGATGGAACTCAAGAAATCGTTATGTCCTTCTCTCTGAAGCTTTTAATCCCCTGACCAATGAGTGGCAAGAGATAGCAGATCTCACTATTCCTCGGTTCAATTCAAGCATGGTGTGCTTTGAAGGAAAACTGTATGTTTTGGGTGGCATCACTTATGTTGAGGGTAAGGGATACATAGGAACTTCTACAGTTGAAGTTTTTAAATCAGAGATCAGTGAATGGCAAGAGTTGTCACCTATACCTGTTAAAAACGTTGGAATATCACAGAAAAAGAACAAGTATCAGGCTTGTTTTGCAAGGTTTGACAAGAAAATGATTGAAAAACTGCAACCACTGCTAAGCTGACAATGTTATTGCAATAATTATGAAATTCTAGTCCAAGGCTATTTTTATTGAATTTCTAACGTGAAAGCATCAGTTATGCTGTTATAACTCTGCTTTTTTATGGTTTAGAAGAGAGCATTAGGAACGACTTTCAATCCATTTTTTTTTAAATTCAGGTCAGGCTTTGACTTTTAATTAGTATACTATGACAAGATAATCAAATGACTGTTTTCACACTCGATTTTGCCTATAATAATTTAATTGCATGATCAAGTTATCACCGGTTAAAACGACAGGAAATGATTGTTATTTTAATTTTCAGCTTTGAGTTAGATGGAAAACTGAATACAGTGGAGGCTCTTGTAAACGGACACCCTCGGGACACGAAAAAGGTGTCCGTTAATCAGGTTAATGGAGCTGGGGTCTGTTTCTCGAAAGCCCTGGTAACTTTTCGGGCCCGGAAAGCTGTAACTTTTGTGATTTTTGTGTTTGTATTCAAGATCAAAGTTTCAATAACTTTGAAAATATGACTATGAAACTATCAGTTAACAAAGCAAAATTGACTGCTTTGTGGGTAGGAACTGTACTACTATTCAACTGGGTTTTGATTTTGAAATTTGCCTTCGGCCGCGAAATGGGTCTTTTGAGAAATGGGCCCCTGGCCGCTAACGAAAATGTTTCTCGCAAGTGGCCTCTAGCTAGAGATGTAAGGGTTAAATGGCCGCTTACGGAAGCTGGCCCATTTACAGAATACACATTGGAAATGCAAAAAAAAAATGTTTGTTAGGGTTTGGATATACTGTTGTTCTGGTAATGTTGTAACTCAGTCACAAGCATAAAATTCGAGGTGTTTCAGTGAAGAGTAACCGGACATGTATGTGAAAACTAACAAACACTTGTATACGTGGCGATTAGCGACATGAGGTTGATATTTCAAAATACAAGATTCAGAGATGAATGGGATTTCATTTGGAGGTTTAGCTTATAATTACGGGAGCTTATAAACAAAGCTAAAATCTAACTTGTAAACCCTGAAAATGTCCGCGGCCGCCTACGGGAATTGTCCGCTTACGGGAATGTACTGTACAGAGCTTGTATTGGAGTTGAAACAAGGTTTTGTGAAGGCGGGCGTGAGTAGATCTGTCCGCTCACGAGAGTGTCCGCAGGAGAGCTTCCACTGTGCATTTGAACAAGGGGATGCACAATACGTAAGCCAGCGACGCAGACGTACAAGGCATCTGAAAACAAACAAGGAACTAACAACTCGGTCAGTAAAAAAGACTGACACTGAGGCCTGAATGATTCCTGAAGTTTGTCAACGAATTCTCTTTTGCCCGCCATAGATTCGTTTCCACTAAAAGGTCAAGCGATTTTTCCTGGCGGTATGACATGAAGGGAGGGTCCTTAAAAAATTATCCTAGATGTTAGTGTCAGTATGAAAGATTCTTGATGAACGCTGGCTGTGGTCCGTTGATGAATGCTTATCGATTTCCCGTAAAAATAACGCCATTATTACAAATTTATTGCAAAGTACGTAGATATAACTCAGTTGATTTAACAATTTGTATACACCTGTACGACTGTCTATGCAATTCTGGACCGAAATGATACCATAGTTAGTCTTCTCTACTTGAACTATCGTTTCGGTATTTAGAAGTAAAGTAAGTGTCATAGGTCAACGTATGTAATTATACTGCAATGAAAAAGATAAGCACCACATATTGGATGCAGTTTTTGTAATATTCCATGATGTAATCGGTAAAACAGTTTGTGTAAGCAAATATATTGGAAGAGATGAAGATAACTGAGTTAAATATGCTCTGCTGTTGTTGAGTTTTCCACCTCTGCTGACCGCCATCGCTCACCGTTCAACGCCAAAAAATACTGGGAAAGAGTAAACTGGCTAGAAAACGGTCCAGTTACTACTGGGTGAACTATATGCTTAGTAAATAATTATGCTATCTCCTCTGTCTAAGCCTTTTTAGCTGATTAATTTAAACGCCTGAATTATCGCCCCTTTTTAACTGAACGCACCCCTTCGAATTACAGTAACGTCCTTCCTCTCAACAGAAACCGTTCTCATCCTTTCTGAATGCGGTATACAATGCGTTTATCTTTTTTGAATAATTATATGGCATAACATGAATAATCACTGGAGAATGACCCATTTGAGTTCGGCAGCAGACCATCGGATGCTAAAGACGCAGCTCTCACATTAGTACTCGTTATACGTTACTAGCACGAGCACCTGGTTACAAAAGAACGTTCAAAGCCAAAAATATGCACCGCAAGCACATTAATTCGAGATTCAGATAAGAAAGATTATAAGCTTTAAGACGGAATCCATCAAGAAATTGAGTGATTTTAATTTTCAGTGGACAAAAACCTTGTACCAGAATAATTTAAAGAATATTGCATTCTTTTTTACATTTTCGAAGGACTAAAGATGTAATTCGTCATCCGTAATAACACCAAAGAAAATTCTTATGGGAGCCAGAGAAAATGAATGTCACAAAATTACATCTTACACAAGAAATTTTCAGAATTTTACCTGTGTTTTCACAATTCTTGCAAAATTTGACATTCATTTTCTCGGTCTCCCATGAGAAATTTTCTTTGGTGTTATTACAGATGACTAATTACATCTTTAGCCCCTGAAAAATGTAAAAATGAATGCAATATTCATTGAATTATTCTGGTACAAGGTTTTCGGTCCGCTGAAAATTAAAATTGCGTAATTTCGTGATGTATTCCGTCTTAATTTTCGTGTGATAATGATGCAGATGTCGTTCAGTAGAGGCCAAAACAAGCCTGTTGTAGGCTGCCCTGAAATTCTAAAGGTATGAAGAATAAGCCCCCCCCTCTCGACTCAAAAGATTACATAAGCGCAGCCGGCACAATCAAGAATTCGCGTTGTGGGATAAAGTATGGTTCTGCGTGCTGAACGCAGTTACCTTGAAGTTTTTTATAGGGCGTCCTTGTCGATACTGTACTAGTCCTTCAACATGCTTCTTTTACATTGTATCGTCATTTCATTTTAACTCCCACGAATGAAAGATCCTAGTATGAGAGTGGAGAGAAAAGAAGTATTCGCGGCAGCCTCATCAAAAATAACCTTTTTTCAGCTTTTTCGGGTTAGGGCAGGTTCCCCTCCATAGGTATTTTTCTTTTTCTTGA